CCCCAGCCCTATTTTGTATTTTATTTAGAGACAAGGTCTCACTGAGTTGCTTAGTGCCTTGCTTTTGCTGAGGCTGGCTTTAAACTTGCAATCTTCCTGCCTTGGCCTCCTGAGCTGCTGGGATTACAGGCATGCGCCACTGTGCCTGGCTTTTTTTTTTTTTTTAACTTACAGTTCATGATTAGTTTTCTAGGCTGTACATTTTCAGGTGGTCATTAATTGTGTGAAGATACATCTCTGTCTGAGTTCTATGATGCACACCTGTAATCTCAGGGACTAGGGAGTCTGGGGTGGGAGGATCACAAGTTTGAGACCAGCCTCAGCAATGTAGGAGATCCAAAGCAACTTACCGAGATCCTGTCTCAAAATAAAAAAATAAAAGGACTAGGGTGTAGCTCAGTGGTTAAGCACCCTTGGATTCAATAGCCAGTATTAAAAAAAAAAAAAAAAAAAAAAAAAAAAGATACATCTCTGATAATTCAGTTTGGTCTGGACTTTTAATTATTCTGAGGTGAATGACTGTGCTTCCTTTGGCATCACTTATATACCTTTGGCAGCATATACTAAAATTGGAATAATTCTAATGACAAAATATGGTATTTGAAGTTTTTCTGGATTTTCCTTGGTGCTGGGGGTTCAGACCCAGGACCTCAAGCATGCTAAAAACAAGCATTCTACCACTGAGCTACAACCTCAGCTTTCAAATACTGTTTTTTTTTTTTTTTTTTTTAAATATCTTAATCAAGCCCCATGTCCTAAGGCTGAGGGTGTAGCTTGGTGATAGAGCAGGCACTTGCACTATGTCTGTAGTCCCAGCTACAGGGAGGTTGAGGCAAGAGGATTGCATGAGCTCAGGAGTTCAAGGCCAGCCTGGGAAACAAGTGAGACTCTGTCTCAAAACAACAACAAAAAAACCCTCTATGTTACCATAATTAGGAGGTGTTTTTTATTTTTATTTATTTTGTATACATGTGGTACTGTTGGGGCAGACAGATGAGGATGGTGGGAATACAAGGTTAAGAGAGTAATTCTATACAATGGACCCACTGTGCTGACCCCCACATGCTTTCTTTTCCAAGAGGAAATTCACAGGCAGCCTTGCCTGGCCTATATGGATAGGCTATGTCACATTCCTCAGGCAAAGGATCTTAAGGTAAAGAAGACTTGTATTATGGGATCTCTCCATTTTCCTTCCTTGTGCCCAACTGTAGAGAATTAAAAATACCCCAGGAAGCAGGGCATCTCCCTACTTCCTTGGTTCATCAAACTCCCTTAGTGCATCCCCTTATTGTGGAGGTGATCCCTGCATCCTGGGGCAATGTATTGTCTAAGGCAGAATGCATACCTCTTAAGGGTGCCTAAAGGGTCCATGACCTGGTCTAGCCTGACTTTCCAGATCCCCTGTCTCTCCTGTTCTTTAGCATTAGGGAGGAACTTTGCAGAATCCCAGAATAAAGAACAGACAAAACAACCATTTATGTTCACAGCAGCTTGGATTTAAAAGTGACACCCTACCCTCAAACTGATTTGGGTACCTGCTCACATAGCTTACATTTTAGATGGGTATCAGGCAGGTAAAGAGTAGAGAAAGCTGTCATTTAGAGCATACGAGGTAAAAACTCATACACAGAGCAATTTTTTAAATAATTATTTTAATTGTAGATGGACACAATACCATTATTTTATTTATTTATTTTCATGTGTTTTGAGGATCAAACCCAGTGCCTCACGCGTGCTAGGCAAGCACTCCACCACTGAGCCACAACCCCAGCTCCATAAAGCACTTTTTTGACCATTAATAAAAAAAATTCTCCCTTTTTTGTAACACCAGTCTCTTAAGGTCTGGCGTTAAAATGTTTCCCTCTGGAGACCATTTTTCTGTTCCCTCAATTGGTAATCAGTCCAGGTTTGGATGTGGAAAGTTCTCAGGCATCTCCTGTTTTCTATTGTGATTAGGTCATCCCCTGGTATTACTTTTGAGGCTGAAGTTTCCCTCTGAATGAATGAATAAATGAGACCAGAACATGAGCATCTGCCCTGAGGAAACTGTTTCTTTGGCTAGGGGACATCTCCCCATTCTGTACCTTCTAGAGGCCAGCAGTTCCCACCTCTCCTTCCATAACCCCTGGACTTAACCTTACCAGCATAGTCATAACTTCTCTCCTTCTTCATGGGTGGTCATGAAAAGGGTGCAAGCCTCTGGACTATCTACTCTTACTGGGTGACTTGTTACTCTGGGAGACTGTGAAGCCCTTAAATGACTTCTATAATAAATCCTGCTCTGTCTGTGCTGAGTCTACCATCACTTAATAAACTTTCAGGGTAGAGAGAACTGGGTCTCACTCAGAATAAAGGATACTAACTTTCTGATAACTATTTAACTTAAGGGAGGACATTTGCCTTTAAAATTTGTCTTACATGTTCTCTTTGTCCTTTTGGGTCCTCATACTCACAGGACCAGGATTTCATATCAAGCTTCTCAATCTGAAGTAGGGGGCAAGCCCATTAGTACTCTGGGTGATAATCCCTCCTGTTCCTATCATCCTCATCTGTTTGTCTCCTTATAGTACTAAGGATTAAACCCAAGGCCTCCTGCATTATCCCACTGAGCTATATCCCTATTCCTTTTCATTTTATTTTGACATGGGGTCTTGCTCTTTTGTCCTAACTGGGTTTGAACTGGTGATCCTCCTGCCTAAAACTTTTGACTACCCGGGATTACAGGGATTATAGGCATGTGCCACTGTGCCCATTCAGGTGTTTCTACTGTAACATTTACAAACAGTATTTAAAATTTTTGGTATCAGGGATTGAATTTAGAGACACTTAGCCCAATTTTGTATTTTATTTAGAGACAGGATCTCACTGAGTTGTTTAGCACCTTGCTTTTTTGCTGAGGTTGAAACATTTTTTTAGTTGTCAATGGACCTATATTTTACTTATTTATATGTAACGCTGAGAAGTGAACCCAGTGCCTTACATATCCTAGACAAGTGCTCTACCACTGAGCCCCAATCCCAGCCCTCAAACAGTATTTTGGTTATCATTTTCCTACTACACATAAGTGCTTTTTAGAGTTGCTAGGGGCTAGCTTAGCCACTTTCTACTTGATTTAGTATATAGGAAATGATTAGTAAACATTTTATTTTTTGGGTAGAAATAGAAAGAAAGGGGAAAGAAAAAGTGAAGGAAAGAGAGAAAAAGTGAAGGAAAGAGAAAAAGTTCACTTAAATAGGAAGCTTAAAACTGAACTAGAATAGTAAATTTCAAATTTCTTATCATTTAAACCTGATTTTTTTTAAAACATGGGATTGAACATACTGATGCTTTACCCTGAGCCACATCCACAGCCCTTTATATTTTTTATTTTGAGACAGGGTCTTGCTAGGTTGCTTAGGGGCTCCTTAAATTTGGGGCTGGCTTCAAGCTTGCAATCCTCTTGTTTCAGCCTCCATAGTTGCTGGGATTACAGGCTTGCTCCACTGCACTGGGCTTAAAAAAGCATAAGTTAATTATTCATAAGTTAATTATGCATGAATGTTTTAAATTAAAAGCAGGCCATTAAAGCTAACAAACTTGTTTACTGAGAAAAATGTATTTACAATACTATTACTTGATATTGTTTCATGTCTTCCAGCCCATAATCCAAAACGATACTTCTCATAAATACATTCTACCAGTGTTTTCAAAGTTTAGTCCCTGGGACAGCTATATCAGCATCCCTTGGGAACTCCTTAGAAATGCAAAACCCCGCCCTAGAACTTTTGGATCAGAAACTGTAGGCAGGGTTCATCTTCTGAGGCTAAAGTTGGAGAACCAGTGCACAGTTTTTCTTCCAAACTTGCTGATGTGGATGAAGAAGCACCACTCAAAAGCAAATATTCTTAGATGTTTAGACAAGAAGGATTAAATTTTCACTAAAATAAATTTTTTATTATGAAATTTCCCCAATACAGAATTTTAGAAAAAGAAACTTAGAAGAGATGAAGGGAAAAACCATTCCACTTTCTACTTGATTTAGTCTTAAATGTCTTGTTCTCCTTTTGTTATGGGTCTCTACCCTCTTAAAATTTCCCTTTATTTCCCATTATTAAAAAAGCCTAGCTGTTGGGGTGGCACAAGCCCGTAATCCCAGTGGCTTGGGAGGCTGAGACAGAAGAATCGCAAGTTCAAAGCCAGCCTCAGCAATTTATCCAGTTTACTTTTGAGGCTGGAGTTTCCCATTGAATGAATGAATAAATGAGACCAGAACATGAGCATCTGCCCTGAGGAAACTGTTTCTTTGGGAGGCCCCATCTCTAAATTAAAAAAAAAAAAAAAAAAGGGCTGGGGATGTGGCTCATTGGTGAAGTGCCCCTGAGTTCAATCCCAGGTACCCCCTCCCCCCACAAAACAAAAAAAAACAGAAACAAACCTGTAATAACTCTCTTGTGACACAGAGTCCTTGGCAGGCTTCCACAAATCTTTCTCTAAGGTTACAGGGAGCCCATGATATCTTATAAGTAAGAGCATAGACTCTGAAATCCTGCAAACTTCAACGCCCCCCCCCCCCCCCCCCTGTCCAACTCAGTAATTAAGTAACTAAGGTAAACGAGCTTTCAGCGTCTTCGAGCTTAGCTCTTTATTGGTAAATCTAAATCTTATTAGGACTCCTGAAGACGCAAACTCGCAGTCTGGGGGCACTGAAGTGCCAGAGCAGGATGAATTCGAAGGAGGAGCTTGCCTAAGACCCCCCCAACTCCCACCCCCGCCTCCGCCCCCGCCCTCGTGAACCTCTCCCTTCATCCCAGGGTTCGGGTCGGAGCGGGAGAAGATGGACTCTGTCCGAAAGAAGAACTCTGGGCTTCACTTTAAAAAACACTCTCTCGGGTGATCCTGCGGAGTCCTAGAATAAGAGAAGGTGACAAGGGATTCTCCAACCTCTGCGCGGTCCCTTTAAGAGCCTCTAGCCCTGACTCCGCCCTCTGCCGCCGGACGCGGGCGGAACCGGAAGTGGGGGAAGAGCCGGTCCCCAACATGGCGGCCGCCTGGCCCTCCGGTCCTGTTTCTCCGGAGGCCGTGGCCGCCCACCTTCTTGGAGTCTTGTGGCTCGTGGCAGCCACCACGGGACCTTGGGGGGCTGTCGCTACCGCTGCCGCCGGGGGCGACGAGACGCTTAAGTGCGAGGACCTCAAAGTGGGGCAATATCCTCTATGGCGAGGTAGATTCCGGGTCGCGGTTCTCAGTACTGGCTAGGTCTACTGAAGGAACGACGACCCGTGACCTCTAAGGACGCCGGGGGACGAGGGGGGATTTGGGGATCGGAGGGGCAGAGGCCAGCCCGTGTGCTTTCCGTAGGATTTAACTAATGGTTGGTGCTTCTTAACCTCATCCATTTCTTTTTGTAACCGGTGTGCTTATTAAACATAGATCCTAAGGTATACCAGGCCCTGTTCTAGGCACTTAGAAATATAAATATTGACAGACTCTACCCTGGAAAAGTTTGCCAACGTCGAGGGAGACAAGTAATTACTAGTGCTTCCTCCAATCAAAGTGTATTATTCTTTTACAATTAATTTTACATATAATACTTCATGTTATCCTGAGATGCTAAACTGCCAGATGAATTCCTGCTCCACTTTGTATCCTTGGGCAAATTATTTGAACATTACATTTTCTCATGTAAAAATGTGAATGACAAGTGTGCCAATTTAAGGGGCTGTTGTGATATTTAATTAGTACAGGTGTGAACAGTGCCTGGTATAGTAGGCAATGTATGTGTTAGCTATTTATTTACAGGCGAGGAAACAGGCCAAATCAGGGTTAAGGGATGAGTTGTGCTTAAAATAGCTACTTTGGAACAGGAAAACTAATAATGGAAGCTAGAAATATAGGTTGACTATCTCTAAACCAAAAAACCAAAATTACTAAGTGCTCCAAAATCCAAAATTTTTTGAGCACCGACGTGGCACTTCAAGCAAGGGATCCTCAACCTGTATAAGAAAGATTCTGTAAGAGGAACTCTTGATATGAAGAAAATTCTAGTGATTTTGTGTGCTTTGAGGAGCGACACTATTACTATTAAAGGTTTTCACAGAATAGCTCTAATTTGTTGAATATCATTATGTTTTGACTTTGAGAATCATGGACCTAATAAGTTGAATTTTATTCTTGGAAGAAATATGGGAGTGATTCTAAAATAATTGGGCAGTATCAAAGTTGAACCCTGGAAAGAATGAGCCTGTAGAACTGTGAGGTGATGACAACTGGATAATCACTTTTATTCCTAGTATGAAGTTTCCAATAGAGATTCAAAAATCTTAAATGGACTCTAGAGACATTTTGTGAATACCACACTCACCCCTATTAGAGTGTCAGTAATAAAACATTTAGGAGATAAAACTTCCAGTTTCTCTTTTGGACATTTTTGGTTCTTATGCTCTTTTCAAAAACTTAAAATCCTGCTAGAGTGTCCATATAGAATACACCCATCTTTCTGCAATCTGATGGACTTTAAATAAGGAAACCTGATTTATCACCTATCATTTATATGGCTGCATTAGCCATTCAAACTTTGAACTTCAGTTTTTGCTTCTGTGATGTGGGGCTAATAGCATCTACCTCACAGGTTTGTGTTAAATGAAATTCAGTGTATGGTAATTCTAGGGCTCTGCAAATTAGTTCAGTACAAATCTTTGGAAACTGATTTGTTAACCTGAAGCCTACTTAATAATAACTTAGTAAAATGTTTATTTTAATTTTTGCTTTGTGTTTATATCCTGATTGATGTTCTTTAATGATGAAATTCTCTGCTAGAGCTTTTTTTTTTTTTTTTAATTGTGGATGAATTTTTATTTATTTATTTATATGTGGTGCTGAGAATCGAACCCAGTGCCTCACACATGCTAGGCAGGTACTCTGCCACTGAGCCACAACCCCAGCCCTCTCTAGAGCTTTAAATACATACATTTAATTTATATACTTTGCTTATAATAAGTTAACATTCAGGTATTATTTAGGTATTATACTAGAAGAATGTTTATATCTGTGCTTGTTGACTTGGATAAACCAGCAGCTTCTTTTTTACATGTGGTGTTATGTTAGATAGTTCTTATTTCCTTAACTTTTTTTTTTTAACATATATTTGTAAAGATCCCAAAATAAATGATGCTACGCAAGAACCAGTTAACTGTACAAACTACACAGCTCATGGTAAGACTTCAAGAATTATGTCTTTAAAAATAATTTTTAAAACACTATTTCATAGACCGTATGTGACCACTAAATTTAATTAATAAATATATTTTTTTCTTAAGCTATACATTTTATTCAGTTTTCAGAAGAATTTAAATTTGAAGAACTGGCTAGGTGTTGTCAAGATTTAATTAATTGATTAATTATTTATTTTGATGCTGGAGATTGAACACAGGACCTCACATATGCTAAGCATGTGTTCTACCACTAAGCTATACTCCCAGCCCCAATATTTAAATTAAAAAAGAATCTTATTTCCTTAATTATATAAATTGTAAGTTTTGTATTTTCATTATATATTTAAAATTTTTGCATCAGTTTATATAGCTCCCTCATTTTCTTCTTATTTAAGTTTATTTTTAATTGATATATAAAAACATAAAATTTGTATATATTTATGGGGTATCATGTTATGTTTTAATATATGTATACATTGTGTAATATTTAAATCAGGGTAAACATGTATTTCCTTAAGCAATTATAGCCTTTTATTTCTTAAGAGATGTGTGCAAAGATACTTCTTTGGTTACAGTTTTTAATTACTCAAAAAAAGTGAATTGAGACTGTTGGTTTTGTAAAATATAGTGACAAACTATGTCACCTACATTATATATGTTTCTACATGTACTTAGATATATCCTAACAGTATGCATTAATATTTTCTCAGAGGGGTGTTTTGATAATGGGTCAAAAAAAATTATTAGACTTTCAGTCTAATGATTTTGGGTAGCTTCTATTCTAAATTATGTACAATGCCTGATAAAATATAATAGTTTACTCCCTGTTAAGTCTTTCCTTCTAAAGATTTTTATGTCTTTATATTTTGTCACATTATTAGCCCAATTCTAGTTAGAAGAGATACTTGAAAGTAAGTGGTAGCTGTGGAGCTTGCCTGTAATCTCAGCAACTTGGGAGGCTGAGGCAGGAGAATTACAAGTTTGAGACCAGCTTCAGCAACTTAGCGAGGCACTAAGCAACTTAGCGAGAACCTGTCTCAAAAAATAAAAAGTTCCAGGACGTAGATTAAGTACCCTGGGTTCAATCCAGTACCAAAAAAAATATAAGGTAAGTTGTGTTAAACCTTTATTATTGACTTTTTGCTACTATGCTGAAATAGTGAGATTTTATTATATAAACAGTCATAGGATAATAGATGTATGTATACATATAAATATATGATTTTCATAGTAGATATTGCTTATTATGTATACATTAATTTAAAAGAATATTGTAATTTATCCCTCTTTGGTTAGCCTGTAAGTATGCTGTGATTTGCCTGTTTACAGTTAGAAGTCTTTAATGTTATCGGTTTTAGAATGTAGTATAGAGTTAACATGCATAAAGAAGAGAAAGCTCTCAAATATAGTTATTTATAATCATTCATATGAAAGATGTTGGAAATCTATGCGTACTATTGTGACAAATATGTAACTGGCAGACACTCTCAGAAAAGTTTCTTCTAGCATTTGGGATTTTTTGTATAGAGATTTTAAAGGAAAATATACAACTATAAAGAATAGTTTCTGCCCGAAAAGAGCTCTGCTCTCCAGTTAGGTGTCTATTTTGGATTAAATAAGTTTCAATTCTCTTAAGGATTATTGATAAGTAAAGTTATAACCATATGCAAATCAAGTTGCTAGAAAAAATTCAAGGTATTATGGAATTAGTCATGGTATCAGGAAGTGCTTATAGGATGAAAGGGGAGAGGTGCAGGAAAATAAAAGAAATGCTTTTCAAATAAAATTTGAAGAGAATAAAACGTGTAAAAGTCTGTTTGCCCAACTAAATCTGGAAACATATAAAATGTTCTAGATTTAAAAATAAATGACTTTAAAGATTAATAAAGGACTTTAGCCATGTGCAGTGGAAGGTGCACACATGTAATCCCAGTGACTCAGGAGGCTGAGGCAGGAGGATTGCAAATTAGAGGCCAACCTCAGCAACTCAGTCAGACCCTGTCTCAAAATAAAAAGGGCTGGGGGTGGGGTTCAGTGGTAAACTACCCCTAGGTCAATCCCCAGTAATCTCCCCACCCCATTAATAAAGAACTTTAAATCATTACCATGATTTTAAAAAGAAAACAAAAGTTTTGAGACAAATGTGAATCATGAGGCTTCTTCATATTAATGTGTAATTTATGCATGGTACAAAGGTGTTGAACCAAGAGCTGGGGTAGGTTCTTCCAACCCAGTCTGATGCTTGAGTCTGTGCCAATCCACAAGAGTTTTGTTTTGTTTTTCTTTTCTTTTCCCTAATTGTCCTTTTTCAAACATAAAAGCTAGTGGGGTAGCCATGGTAAATCTGATCTAAATCCTGATCAGAGAGGATGTCAAATCACCCTGGAAGCCTGTTTCCCTGTGGTAGAATGTGAGAGTCCCTTTCCTGCATCATGGCTTGGATAAAGGCATGTTTCTGGTCCTCAGACTTTAGGCCAAGCAGTGCTGCCTTTGCATCCTCTGACTTCTGCTCTGAGGTGCCGTAGTGCCCACAGCTATTGTAGGAATAGAAGTGGTGCTGGGCACTGATCTGTCACAGCATTTACATTGTGATTTTCCATTGGTCTTCTGGAGTTTAATAACTCAGTGTTGTAATTTAGTTGCAATGCAGGGTTTATTTTGCAGCTGGATTTTATTGGCATTTTAACATGTGAGTGAATTTTCAACATATTGTGCACCCCAGTCCAACAGTATCTTTAAAAATGTCAGACTGGATATGATTTCTTTCTTTCTTTTTTTGGGGGGGGCGGGTACTGAGGATTGAACCCAGAAACGCTTAAATACCAGCCATATTCCCAGCCCTTTTTATGTTTTATTTTGAAACGGGGTCTCACTAAGTTGATAGGGCCTTGCTGAATTGCTGAGGCTGGCTTTGAACGTGTGATCCTCCTGTCTCAGCCTTCCAAGCCACTGGAATTACAGATTTGCACCACTACACCCAGCTACTGGATGTGATTTCTATAACAAGTTATACTGTATAATGACCAGCTATAAAGAAATGTGCCAATCTAAAATTCATGTCAAAACAAAAGCTAGAGATAAAGGTGACAAGAGCCAAAACATCTCCATATTTCCAGCATTGAAACACAGTTCTCCTTGAGGAATGCTTAAGTTGGAAAAGCCACTATTTTGCTATTATCATAATAAAGAACAGTTGGGATTAGAATCATCAATAGATGGTGAATGTAGGGGATTTTTTTTTTTTTTTTTTTTTTTAATCTGGACATTGAACTCAGGGGCACTCAATGATTGAGTGAACATCCCATTTTTAAAAAAAATATTTATGTTTTAGTTTCAGGTGGATGCAATATCTTTATTATATTTTTATATGGTGGTGAGGATCAAACCCAGTGCCTCACACATGCTAGGCAAGCATCTACCACTTGAGCCACAATCCCAGCCCTCCCCAGCCCTATGTTGTATTTTATTTAGAGACAAAGTCTCACTGAGTTGCTTAGAACTTCCCCATTGCTGAGGCTGGCTTTGAACTCATGCTCCTTCTGTCTCAGCCTCCCAAGCTTCTGGGATTACAGGTATGCGCCACTATGCCCAGTCTGTAGGGAAAATTTTTGATGAAGAATAGGCTGTTTGCAAGTTTTTTCCCCAGTACTAGGGATTGAATCCAGGTTCTCGTGCATGCTAGGTAAAAGCTCTACCAATGAGCTACATCCCCAGTCCTTTTTAGTTTTAGATGGGGTATCACTAAGTCCAGGCTGCCTTCCAACTTGTAGTCCTCCTACCTCAACCTCCCAAGTAACTAGGATTATAGCAGCTGCATGATCTTAATGAGTCTGCCCACAAAAACATTAACTGTACATTAGAAAAATCTGAATGCTCAACAGTTAATATGCCCAGTGTGTAGAGTTTTCATCCCTTGAAATAAGTAGCTCATACTTCTGACAAAAACTGCTGTAGAATCATTGTAGCAATTTGGTTTTCTCTTCATTCTTATACTTCTTACCACCTTTTCTGAGGTTCTAAGCCTGGATTGTTAGCCATTTTTCTTTCATTTTTTTTTTTCTCATATCAATGTAAAGTAGCCAATAGGAATGATTAAATAACTTTAAAAACTAAAATTTTCAAAATATGGCAACTTGAACAATTGATAGTGTCAAGTTGTGCCTGGCAGACACTGTGTTAATTCTCATGTCATGTAGGTTATGTATATAGATTAAATTGCTAAATGCTGAAATAGTACAATACATAGAATAAAGAGTTTTAATTTATGGCAGCCAATGCCTATAATAGTTAAAATAAACTGAATATTCAAACCCAGATTATGTTAAAATGAATTACCAACAAAACTTTAAGAAATATTCTTTATCCTAGAGATGAAGTAAAACAAATAATACTGTGCAATTCTTCCTTTGTCATCTTTGTCAGAGGCAAGAGATTGGACTAGATGGACCTTGTATAACACAGTGGCAGTTTTCATATTTGTGTTGAGACCACTCTATCATTTTATTTATTTTATATATACATATATATTTTTTTCTTTCTTTTTTTGGTAGCTTTTCCTATCTAAATTAAACTCTTCTGTCAGACGTTACATAGGAAGGTAGTTTGTTGAATTTTCTTGTGTGCTTTGCCAATATTAGGGGGAAGTATTACATACCTTTACTGCATAAAAAGAAGTAATATTTTTTTGATTTTTTTTTTCTGCCTTTAGTTTCATGTTTTCCAGCACCCAATATAACTTGTAAGGATTTCAGTGGCAATGAAACACATTTTACTGGAAATGAAGTTGGTTTTCACAAGCCTATATCTTGCCGAAATGTGTAAGTACCATTACTGATACCTAAAATTTTAGATTATTTGCCTATGTAATATATTGATATCATAGAATGAAGAGTTAATTTATGGGGAAATCCTGCAGATGTAATGTTTATGTTTTTGCTTGTCTCAGAGTCTCTGTTTTTTTAAGTATACTTATGTTTTTATAAATGTAATTCACCAATGAAGAAAGAGCTAAATTCACTGTGTGGAATAAGACAATAAATGGTCTCATGCCTTGTTGAGTAGGGGCAATAAGTTTATCAAATGAACTATGAAATGAATTATAAAAAATACTGTTTTCAAAATTTGGGAGATTTCTAGAATACAGATAGGTATTGTATGCCTATTATATCAGAAAAACACAAATGGTTATTACTCATTTTCACATTAAGAGCAGTTTGAACTTGACTAATTCTTTGAATTGGATATGGATATTGAATAATAATGAAACAATTCAAAGTTTTCATTTTGGAATAATAAGACAAATGGATTTAATGTTCTCTGTTTAAAGGACTTTTATGCTTGAGTTTTATATTGATTACAGTAAAACTTACATCCTATTCTTTTATTCTTGCTTTGTACTAAAATCAGAATTTATTTTTACCTTATAACTGTATATGGTTGCATTTTATTTGATGGCATCTGTTTATAATTGTATCAAGAAGTAACCACTGTTTTGCTCTTTCTACAACTTCTTTCAGAATCCTTTGAGCTTAGAATCCTTTTTTCTTTTCTCTTTTGACCCTAGTTCATTGAGTTAGTGAGGTTTTGATTCTGTCCTGCTGTGTAATCCTAAGCCAATCACTTAATCTTCTTGGGTTTCAGAATTTCTCATTAGCAAAGTTAAAATCGTTTAAAGGAATTACTTTCAATGTACTTAAGTATGGTGTAGTCAGTGTTTAAACTACAGATAAATATTTCTGCCTAAAACACTACAAATAACAGTGTATTAAGTGTTAGTCCAAGATATCTAGGTTAAAATACAACTAAGAAAATCATCTGTTGAGTATAGCTACCTACTCAATTTGAACCTTACAAATTCATTACATGTAATAGTAACACTATAAGATGTGTTATGTAGTTTTGAAATGAGTGCTGATTTTTCCTTCAGTGTCTTCAGAGTAGAGTAGGCTCAATGCAGCTGAGCTGCACTAATAATGTTCACAAGACATTGATGTCTGTTATGATAAGGCATATCACCATCAAGAAAACCAGATACTCCAAGTCTACTACCAATTTATTCCCCTCCCATAGTAAAATCTACAAATCTAAAATAAAATTTGCTTGATGAGTATTGAATCTGAACGATGGAAGTTAGTGGTAAGAGTTATAAAACTAAGATGGCCTGATGTATCATTTTTCTTTTTCAGGATATTTAATACATGCATAGCCAAAGGGCAGCTGCTATTCAGCTATGAATAGACTTACTGACAAATTCCTATTTACTGGGAGTCCCTCTTCTGGTTTACATATTTTTTGCTCCTGTTAGCATATTATTTTTCAAATTATATATTACATGAATACTTGATTAAAATTCCATCTTAGTATTGCAGATACAACCATATTATAGTATTCCCCAGAAAATGAAAACTGGTAACCATGTCTGATTGATTAGCAAGCAATTCACCTGTTTATAGTGGCCACTTATATTAGTTGAAACAGGCTAACTGCTGTAATAAATGTCTTTAACATTTCAGTAGTTTAGTACAATAAAAGTTATTTCTCATTCATACCATGATCCAGTTTAGGTTGGCTTAGAAGTCTGAGGAAGAGGGTATGAACAGGTCGACAGTTTTCATTTTGCATGAAGCCATTCAGGGGCCCAGCTCTTTTCATTTCTTTCCCCCCTTATTCCTCATATTTTGTCTGTTACTTCTGCTTTCTTAATATTTACCTGTGTGTGTGTGTGTGGTGGGAGGGAGGTTTCTTTTCCTTTTCCTTTTTCTTTTTTGTCATACTGGGGACATACCAGGGACTTGTGCTTGCTAGGCAAGCATTCTCCCATTGAACTACATCCCTGGCCCAGTATTTAACAGTTTTGTTTACTTCTTTGTGCTGCTGCTACTACCTGAGTTTTTGGAAAGCATCCTAACTTATTTTTCTACTTCTAGTGTGGTACCTCATTACAATGTGGATGGGGCACCACTGCCCTGTGCATAAAATTGGATATTATTGTAATATTAAACACATGAGCAGGAGGATCTTTGGGCCATTTACCATCTCCTCCCAACTTTCCAAGAAAATGTTGTAATTGTGAGTGCAGTGCAAAAAGAAAAAAACAAAACCCCACAGGATTATTTATAAGGTTCTGACTTGATCAGATTTGACTTTGGTTCTGGATATCTCTCTCTTTATTCCCCTTTGCAGTAAAATTCCTTAGAAGAGTCGTCTTAATACTTCAGTTTTTCTCTTTCCACTTTTTCTCAGTCTCCTTCTATTCAGTCTTTTGCCTTCATCATATCACCAAAATTGCTCTTGTGAGATCACTGATAATTTCCTTTTAGTTAAGTTTAAGTAGTAAATTCTCAGTTATTATCTCACATGGTATACTAGCCACATTTTTTACTTGACTTCCAGGATACCATTCTCATTCAGTTCTATTTTTTCTTCACCTCCTTAGTCTCTTTTCTGGTTCCTTCTTCTTGGAGTCCCTCAGGCTCAGTTTTCAGATCTCTTCTTTTGTCTGTCTATATTCAGCAATCTTATGGCTCTAAATGCTTCTTATATGTTTGTAACTTTTTAATTTTTATCTCTAGCCTAGACGTCATTCCATAACTCCAAATTTCTAAATCCAGTTGTCTTTTGGGCAACTCCACTTGAATGTCTGATACATACCTCAAACTCACATCTGAAACTGAGATTCTAATTTTCTTTCCAATATTTATCCATCCTCAGCCTTCCCAACTCATTAATGCTAGCTTTATCTGAGTTGTTTAGGATAAAATCGTCAGTGCTATTCTTAATTATTTCTTTTTTCATACCCTAATTTAATACATCAGGAAATCTAATTGGTGGTATTTCAGAATATATTCAGAATCTGATTACTTTTCACTGCTGCTTTTGCTATTACTTTGGATCCAACCATTATTAATTCTCACTTGAATTATTAAAATATCTTTCAAACTCTTTTGAATTTGCCATGTTACTTAATTTGGTCTATATAATGTTAGTAGGTGTGAAACAAACAAAAGTTTATGTGCTTGTGGGCATTAGCTTTCCTTTTGTTCTTTGATATGTCATGAGAAGAAGTTGCCTGAAGTAGCTGCTACAGGATCAGGTTGGGTCCTTGTTAAGTGAAACTGATTTCAACTGAATCTACTGTTTGGATCCAAGCTCAACCAAACTGCAGCCTGAAGCAGAAAATCTCAGTTTAGCTACCCTATGTCTCTTGAACCTCTCTTTAATCTATGAGAATAAAAGCTTGTTACAAGCCACTGAGCTTTGGAGTGGTTTGATATATGACATTACCATGGTATTAGTTGATGAATATTCTCATCCAGTCTGTTTTCAACATAGCAGCCAGAGTGATTATTTTAATAAAAATTTAAATCAGATCATGTTACACCTTTACTTAAAATGCTGTAGTAGCTTCCTAATTTCCACCAGAGTAAAACTCAAAAGAGTATTTGTAAGTGGTGTACAGGGCATGATGGGTTTCCTTTACTCCCCATTATCGCTCTGACCTCATCTTGTAATAGTGTGTGCTTTTCTCATTCTGCTCCTATTATACTGGCCTCAAACCTACAAGGTGTGCTGTCTTTGTACCAGCTGTTTCTTTTGCTTCGGTCACTCTTCTCTCAGAGGCCTAGCATGGCTTAATTCATTTACTTCCCTCAGGTCTTGCAAAGACATTACCTTCTCAGTGAGGCTTACCTTATGACCCTATTTACCCCATTTAAGTGGCCTCTGGCATTCTGGATTCCCTAACCATGCTGTTCTACTACTATTACTACTACTTTTTTTTTCCATAATATTTATGACTTTCTAATGAACTATATGATTTCTTTTAAAATATATTTGCTTTTTGCTTTCTGCAACTAAAATGGAAGCTCCTCAGAAACAGGGATCTTTGTTGCTTTTATTCATTAATGTATCTTAGTAGCTTAAAGTAGTACTTAGCATACCGAAGGCACCTCAAAAAGCATTAATGGAATGAATGAATGAGCCATTTAAAAATAATTAGTAATTTACAGCTTGGTTTTTAAAAATTTTCACATGTTGGAAACATGAATATGACGCTCAAGTTTTAATTCTGTACAGAAATGGCTATTCATACAAAGTGGCAGTTGCATTATCTCTTTTTCTTGGATGGTTGGGAGCAGATCGATTTTACCTTGGATACCCTGCCTTGGGTAAGTATGTTTCATTAAAAGAAAAAACAAATTCTCGTGATTTTGTATTCTAGTCAAGAGTTATTTTTTTTTTTTAAATTGGTAAGTATATTCTTAGATTAAATCTCTGCATACTGTTAATATTACAAGTTCCATGTAATTGGAGTTGAATAGTTAACATTCTCCTGTGAGTATAGAGCTATCTCTACAATTCAGTTTAAGTAAGAAATGCTGACTTTTCCTGTGTATTTACCTTAGGAAAACACGTACTCCAGTTAGTGTAGGGATTTACTTACGACAGTAATACTTGGAACTCTGAGTGCCAGTGCTGGACACACATTTTTTTTGCTTGAAATTTTTTCACTGTTACCCTGGGAATAGAAACTACTTTTTTCAGAATAAGTTGATTTTGGAATTTTGATGATCAGCATGAGCTGGAGGGAACCAGATTTTTTTTAATTCTTTGTACTAGGGAATGAACCTGGGTCTTGCACATGCTAAGCAAGTACCTACCACTGAGTTATGTCCCAGCCCTTTTAAAAAAATTTTGAGATGGTGGCTGGGCTTGTAGCTCAGTGGTAGAGCACTTGCCTAGCACATATGAGGAGGTTCTGGGTTCTATCCTCAGCATCACAAAAAAAATAAATAAATAAAAATAAAATAAGGATATTGTGTCTATTTCCACTCTCAAAAAAAGTTAAAAAAAAATTTGAGATGGGTTTTGCTAAGTTGCCTAGACTGGCAAGTTGTAGTCCTTCTGCCTCAGCCTTCCCAGTAGCTCATTATGTGTGCTACTATGCCTAGAGGGAGGCTGATTTATTACCTGTTAGCATCCTTCTCCATACCTTCCTTCTGCCTGCGGTATTCACATTTTCCATAATTACTAATGCTTATGAAAACAGTTTGTATCTGGACATGGTAGTATAAATCACACCTGTAAATCCCAGTGATTGAAGAAGCTAAGGCAGAGGGATTGCAAGTTTGAGGCCAGTGTTGGCAAGTAAATGAGGCCCTGTCTCAAAATAAAAAAATAGAAAAGGCTAATGATGTAGCTTCGTGGTAGAACAAGTAGAACACCCCTGGGTTCAGTCTCTACTACCACCCCTTCCAAAAAGAAAATTGTTTACCTTTGACCACAGCTTTTAGTAAACAATTCTTTCATGTTTTACCCTTACTTAAACCTTATAGCTCTGAGTTTATCCTCCTCTTTAAATCCTCTTTAACAGGTAGGGAAACTCACCAGAGAGTTAAGGGATTACTGAATTTGAGACCTTACCTTAGTTGGTGACTTTTATTATCATCTTTATAGGTAGGGAAATTGTCATGAGATTAAGAGATTTACCAAGGACATTCAACTGGTGACCTTAATTTGAAACCAAATTCTCTTGTTCCAATGATCATGCTTTATTTACTGTAGTATGCTACTTCTGTATTAGCCCATCACTGAGCAAATAAAGTTTTTTTTTTTTGTAGGTTTCTTTTTTTTTTTTTCCCCTGCAATACTTGCGATTGAACCCAGGGCTGCTCTACTACTGAGCTACATCCCCAACTCCCCTACCCACTTTTTTTTTTTTTTTCAAGTTTTGAGGCAGTCTTATTAGTTGCTGGGGCTGGCCTCCAACTTGTGATCCTCTTGTTAGTATCTTGAGTTTCTAGGATAATAGGTGGGTGCCACCACATCTGGCTTGGCTTTAAACTTTCTATTCTTGTGCCTCAATCTCTCAGATAGCTGGGATTGCAGGTGTTAATCTTGTGGGCACAAAAATTTTTGAATGCTCTGTTTTCCAGCTTGCAAAACTCACCTTATTCCTTCCATGTTGCTACCCAACAACAGAGGTATGTTTCATATAGCTATATCTAAAACTTAGTGTTTTATGTTCATAAAGAAAAGTCAGAACTTAAAGTACTGTGTACAATAATTTATTCAGTTACCCATTTCTTCAACATTTAAGAAACTAATTATGTACATATTATATAAATAATGATAAAGATCCCAGAGTATATTGGTTAAAGAAAATAAATGTGAAATAAAATTAATATGTTGGTAGGTCAGTTTATGATGTTAGATTGTGATAGAGCCATAGCAAGGTGCTGTGAGAGCACAGAAAAGGGATTGGTTCAGGAGGCCATGGGCATAAATAAAAATCTGTTAGAGGAGATGACATTTGATCTAGGTTTTAAGGATGAAGAGATTAAAGAGATTTAGGCATTGTAGAGAATGGCATTTGCAAAGTCACAGGGTATTGAAGTATATGAATGTGCCTTGAGAAAAAGGGGGATAATTTAGCCTGGGATGTAGGAAAAATGCTCACAGAATATGAAATTGACTGTAGAGGTAGCCTGTAGTCAGATCATAAAAAGGCTTTGAGTGTCTTCCTTTGGAACTTGGACTTTACCTTTTAGACATCAAAAGTAATAAAGGTTTTTACATAAAAGTGTCATGGTCATAGTTACCTTTCAAAAAGATTAATATTGGAGGAATTGTGAGGTATGGCTTGATTGGGGAAAGGCTTATATAGCAGAACAAGCTAAAAAAAGGTTGATGGAATAGTCTTGGCTTGAATGATAGTATAATTATACTTTGTCCATTCCTTAGAGCAACAATACCTTTTAGTAACACAGCTGAAACCATATAGTATACAGGAAAGCCTCTGATTTGCCAAATAAAATCATTTAGTCTAACTATTTTTAGATGAGAGGGATGGAGAAACTAAGTTCATAAAGAGAAAGTGATATGATCTGGTAGTTGCAGCGTGTCCAAGTATTTTCTGTTTTGTTTTGAGATGGGGTCTTGCTTTGTTAGCCAAGCTGGGCTTGAATCCATGATCCTGTGGCCTTAGGCCTCACTAGTAGCTGAGATTATAGCTGTGCACTACTGCTCCTGACTTCTAATAGTTCTTGCATTTTCCTCTGTCCTCTTTAAGAAGACTAGACCATATATAGTTTTTGGAAGGATTTCTAACTTTTAAAATGTTCATGAAAGGTTGTGAGGGAAAAAGAAACAGTATTCTTTAGAACAGTTTATTCTGTGATGAGGTTATACTTTTCTATTTCTTTTTCCTTTCATGTGCTGGGAATCAAACCCAGGGCCTTGTGTGTGCTAACCAGGTACTCTTACCATGGAGCTATACCCCCATCCTACTCTGAAATGATGATACGAAATAATAAATATATTTAAAATATTTGGCTTAACGAGTGACTTGTTTTAGCTTTTTGTTATGTCAGATGGGCTGTTGGACATACAGTGTAAGTTAATGTTTTAGACAGTGCAGTGAATTTTTTTTTTTTCTTGCAAAATAAAACTCTGTATACATATAGTGGCTCTGGTTAGTGGTTACTAGTTTTTTTTTAGCAGGAGCTGTTTTTCTGTGGCAATTGTCACTTCTAGTCTATTATCAATATAAGCCAAAGAGAACCTTTGATTTTGAGGCTGATGTTTCATAAATTTGCAAATTTACTTATTTATTTATTTTTGGTACTGAGGATTGAACCCAGAGGCGCTTACCACTGAGCTAAGTCCCCAGTCCTTTTTTTTTTTTTTTTTTTGAGGCAGAATCTCGCTAAGTTGCTGAGGCTGACCTTATGCAATCCTCCTGCCTCACCTTTCCCAGTCACTGGGATTACAGGCGTGTGTAACCCACACCTAACACAGATTTACTTTTTTACATTAACTTTAAACTTCAGTGTGAATGTTTTTTAAAACTCTGAATAACATAACTATATCAATAACATTTGGATGTTGTTTAATTCACCAAATATTTTGAGTGCTAACTTGAGAAAGGAAACAATCTCTCATCTGCTTCATAGCTTGTTGCTATTGTCCTATTTTCCATTGGCTTTGTGTTTTTTTGTTTTTTTTTTTTAATCTTTCCATTCTTAGTAGGATCTTGGAATGAGAAGAGTAAGTGAGTATGTCAAATTTATTATCTTTAACTGAAAATCTTCTTATCTCTTTAAGCATTCAAATTCACACACACACACATATATATTGTATGTGTGTGTGTGTGTGTGTGTGTGTGTGTGTGTGTGTATGTATCCCTATCTTACTTGCATTTAAGCTTCTTTTTTTCTTTGCAGTACTAGCTGATTGAACCCAGGAATGCTCTATTACTGAACTACATCCCTCATCTGGTATAGAAGGCATACCTGTAGTCCTAGCACTCAGTAGGCTGAGGAGGGAGAATCACTTAAGCCTAAGAGTTTGAGACCACCTTTAGTGGACAGAATCCCCTAAGTCTTCCTCCCAAGTAGCTGGGATTACAGGCACGTGTTACTGAATTAACCTGGATTTAAGAGGTATCTTAATACTAAGGGTCTTGGTATGTTGTATCAGCTGATCAAATCTAATATGTAAAAATTAGTGTTAATATAAAAATTTTAAATGTTTTAAATTTTATTTTATTTTTAATGCTTGAATTGAGCTCATGCAAGGCAAGCATTCTACCACTCAGCTACACCCCAGCCCTTTTTATCCTTTTATGTTGAGTCAGGGTTTTGCTGAGGTGATGAGCTGGCCTCCAACTTTCAATCCTCCTGCCTCAGCTTCCCAACTAATTCAGATTGCAGACCTGTACCTCTACACCTGGCTGAAATTTTAATTTTTATTACAAATCTAAGGTGAAGGAATTTTAGTGTTTTCTTTTTGTGTGTGGTCCTGGGGATTGAAACCAGAACCTCATACATGCTAAACAAGCACTCTACCACTAAGCTACACTAATTTGAGTTAAAATGATTGTTGTCATTAAAAACATTCTCCCCCTCTCCCCTCCTATTTGAGTTGTGGTCTCTCTGTGTTCCCCAGTCTGATCTCAAACTCTTAGCCTTAAGTGATTCTCCCTCCTCAGCCTATTGAGTGCTAGGACTCCAGGTATGCCTTCTATACCAGGATAGAAAACATTCTTAACTGGGTAATACAGTGTTGGCTATTTTGTTTTTGCAATCCTGGGGATCAAACCTAGGACCTTGCACATATTATGCACATACTCTACCCTGAACTATATCCCAAGCCCTTCAAATTGTCT